AAGCAGTTTATTACAAGTTCCAGAATCCTGTCACCTGGCAGGGGCAAGGCTGTCCCCAGGGCCATCCCAAATGGACCTGGAGGGCCACACTGGGGACCCATGGGTCTCCAGGGTCCATTTACACCAGACATCCTGGTCCCTTCAATAGGCAGCTCTCAGACCCACTGGACTCTCCAGTGCTTATTCCAGACTAGGAATTCTCAGTTCCCTGACTGGGTTACTGAGGCTTCTCCTCCTGCCTTCCCTTGTGCCCCCATGTTCTTTCATGCATGTGTGGAGATAGGCTTTTATTCCCACAGTTTAAAAACTTGAGTTAGTATCTGCATTTTGTGCTGAAATGAGAATTTTGACTATTGAAACTATAATATTGGTGGGTATTTAAATTTTACTGGTATTCATGTGATCTGTAAAAATATGTACCTTTTAGGAATGTCTTCATATTTCCACTGTGTAGTCATAACTTGCTTCAGATGGCCTGAGATTTATCAGGAAGGATTAAGGAAAAGATCATGCTGTTTCTACAGCTGTTACCTTATGTCTCTGTTTTCTCCAATGCCTGGCCATCTATCCCCCAAATTAGAAAGAGCTTCTCTTTCAGAACAATTGAAAATCTTGGGAGTGAGGTATATAAAGACACTGGGCACCTAGTTTTATATTTGAGACATTTCCAGCTGATTCTTCTATTTCCATTTAGTAGGTCACTTACAAAGAAAAAAACATAAATTATTAATGGAAGACAATAGGTCTTTTTTTTTTTTTTTTTTTTTAAATCATCCCCACTGGGCTCTGATCAGTGGAGTTACACCAGAGATGAACTGTACCCCAAGCAGGTTTTTTACAGTCTACTTTGTACTAATCAAAATGCATAAGCAAAATGTTAATCAAATTAGTTCAGAAGTTGCATCCTAGTGTTCAGTGGTTATTCTAGCTCATTACTGCAAGGTCAGAATCAACTTTCAGGCTCTGTCTTTCTTGCCAGTCTGAAAGTATATGTAATTCTACAACATGGAGGGAAAAAAATAGTTCACATATTCACAGTAGAGATTTTGTGTCATCAAATGTTATCTGGCATCATGCTGGCATATGTTATTGTTCTTAAATAATCATGCCTTCAAATTTTATCAGTAAAAGCATTACCATGATTATTGGGGAAACATTTTTTGGAGGTAAAAATTCACTCTGAAATACAAAACTACATACTGTAGCTCTAAACTCACCGATCTCAATGGTATTTAACATAAGTCCAATAAAGGCAGCAACAAAATTTCTGGCAAATTCGGGGGAAAATGGATCTGTCCCTTTGATTTTACAGACCTCATTTTCCTTTTCATCTAGATAGTTGAAATTTCTGAGTTTGTTTCCAATTATCTTTTATTAAGCTTATATAATAAATTGGGCTTTTAATTACTGAAATAGAAATATGAAAAGCAATTTGAAAGACAGAATGATTCTTTCTGCCAACAGAGGTGGAAGATAATTACTACCAGAGTAAAGTATTATTTGTAAAAGACACCAGGAGAGAAAGAGCTTTTCAGAGTCACAAGTGGCAATTACACACTAACCTCTCCAGGAATCTCCATGGCCACTGAACACTATCAATGCTTGTGTGAAAAATCCCCTTGTTAAGGTATTTCAGCATCTCTAGTTAGCACAAAGATAGGTTCTAACCTATTTTTCAAAATAAAACACTAGAACAACACAGGCAATCCTGTATATGCAACAGTTGACATCCAAGGTTTTGTGAAAGTCTAATGACTAAAAATACCACCACTGCTGTTGCCAGGAGAGCAGCGAACGAAGCATGTCTGTAGACAAGTTTTAATTGACTGTCATGTGGCCTCTTCTATGGACTTTGTTGTGTGCAGAAGCAGATAACCGTACTTATAATCCTAAGTGTGGGCTTGGAGTCGTGTCTTACACTACTGCCTTTGGTGGAAGAAGATGATACTGGCAACGGGAAGTGGCATTAAAAAACACCCTTCTGTAGAAACAAATTTTAGATGCAAATTTTAGTGGGAAGCCATGTGTGGTTCAGAAGTGCAGAAACATATTAGATTACAAGAGTTAGTGCAGGCTAAGTAATGAAAAACATGCAGAAGCACATTCTGCAGTTATGTATCATTTTTCTATCACAACTATCATTTTTATGAGCTACAATACTAATTGAGTTTCTTTGCAGTTACTTCAGTTCACCTCATTATTAGCAGAAAATATATTAAATTGTGAATCAGAGCCTGTGGTGATCTCATGAAGGTAAGTTCATAACAAAGGACTAAAAGCGCCCATTTCTGCAGTTCTCTTTCATGGAGTTGCAGGGGGAATTCACTGGGCTCTTGCTGGAGATCTTCAGCTGATGGAAATGTTTACATCGCACAGGAAAATTGGGAAGGGTGGGAACAATTATGATGTATATGATGAACATGGTATGGTTCCCATACTGCCATGAGCTTTTTAGACCCTTCTTAGGTGTGAGCTGGTGGAGCCCAGGCAGGAGCAGTGCCACAGCCCACTCAGCCACCTTCTGTGTCTTAATGCCGTGATGGCTGCTCCCACCCTCTGCCTGCAGGGCTGATCAGCAGAGTTCCCTGCAAACCTGACGTCACCCCACAAAGATCCTAAGCTTAGTCAGAATAACAGGTCACCATCAGGTTTTCTTTTCCACACAGCACAGGGGAATAGCTGTGCGTGAATTCTGAGCAAAAATGTCTCCAAAACAAAACTGTCTCCGAATTACATCTTTTTCCACATGAAAACCAGTCTGGCAAACACGCGTTGTGTCATGTCACACAGCGAATTGGCAAATTGATTGGTTTGCAAATAACAAGTCACTCTCATCAAACTTCTGTAATAATGATCTGGACTCTTTGTCTTTTTACTGTAAAATGTTATATGCATTTATATATATTTGGCTATTGTGCTCCTAATTTAACAAGGTTATTGGGAAGTGCTGTTAGAATTTAATTTGGGGGCTAGAAAGCAGGAGGAGACATGAAATGTTAATGCTGGAACATCCCCTGCTCTCTGGAAGGACTTTGCATGCAGAGAGCTGTAACATTTGGCGTTTCTGATCTCCAGCCTCAAGGTTACCTCCTTGCAGGTCTACCCTTTGTGGACACAGCCAGGGTATTCACCAGCTTGGTTTATGCAGGTGAGGAGAAAAAGGGGTTATAAGCTCCAGTAGCACAAAGTGGTGAAGGAAACAAAGAAGGAAACATAGAGCTGGAAAATGTCATTAGTGCCACCAGGTGGGCTGAACAACAGGGCTGCCAGGGAGAGGCTGGGCACTAACAATTTTGTAAGCAGCAGGGAAGCAAGAGACTGGCAATGACTTAGTTCAGGAACAAGATAGTCTCTATAGGTGAGGCAAACAGCCAGAATCGATGAATCAAGTGCATTTAGAGTAGGTTGCACAGGAACGTGTACATTCAAAACCCTCCTGGACACGTTCCTGTGCAACCTGCTCTAGACCTCAGTCACAATAGACTTTACCACTTTCAGTCTGTGAAGTTTCACCTAACAGCCATTTGCATGGAGCAGTAACTGCTTTGGGCTAAAACTGTGTCTTCTAGATAAGTATTATGAGATGAACCATTCAGCACTCTCTTTGATAGTTTGTTGTAAAAGATAATCCTGCTGTTGAAGATCTGAGCTCTGTTTCCTGTCTGAACTTCTCCAGTTTTGGTTCAAGGCAGTGGTTGTTCGCCATCTTCTTGTACTACATGAGAGAGCTTTTAGGTACCAAATGTATTTTTCCTGGGAGGGGGAGGTACTTACAAACTGTGAGCAAGTCATTTCTCTGTCCTTTTTAATCAAGCTAACCATAGCAATCTCTTTAAACTTGATATTATTAGGCCTGTTTTCCAGCCTCTAATCATATTTGAAGTTCTTTTCAGCAGCCATTTCAATTTTTCAGCGCTGTTTGTTTGTTCAGCATTTGCCCTAGGACTAGTCATATTTATTTGATGAATTTACAGAGAGAAAAGCCCTTCTCAGCTTCCCTTCTGCTAGATTAAAGCAGCTGAGCTCCCATCTTCTAAAGCAGACTTCCCGCTCCTCCATCCTATTAGCTCTTTTCCTGCACCCAGTCAACATGAAAATCCCCTTTCTTGAATGAGAGTGACTAGAAATACACACACACGTTTTATTCATCATCTTTCCCCTATAACAATGATTTTTCTTACGGCTGCCTCAGAAGTCTCCGGCTTTTTTGTCAGGAGCTCTTAAATACTAACATTTGTGCCTTTGGGCCACATAATTTTTTCCCAGGCTGAACTTTATAGTGTTCCCTCTGTCTTTGGCAGTAAATAAGTTCTAAAATATTCAAGGACTGTCGTTTTCAGTCATTCCCTTGTTGTCCGTATCTGCTACCTGGTATCCAGTGATAACCAGCAATCCAAGCATGTTGCCTGTGCCAGCAAGCCCTCTTGGCATTTCAGATGGATGTGCTCAAGAATGAACAGGACAGAACAGAGTTCTGTTGGGACTTCAGGAAACCCGCTTCAGTTGTCATTTGCAGCTAAATAGAAACACAAAACTCCAAAAGGATACCTAATAGTCATATTTATTCTCTCTCATAGAGATCATAAACTAATTCTTCTTGTTTAGCTCTAGTTATTCACTAAAAGAGGGATCATTTGCTCAAGGACTGGAAACCTTGAGTCACTTCAGAAGTCTTACAGAAGATTCTTACAGATCTTTCTTAGGGATCAGCCATGGCACCTAATAACCAAAAAGACTGAAAAATACACAGGAATTTTATTCCTTGCAGTAGCTTTTTTCCAGCCCTCTGCATTTGAAGGTGGTCAACTTGTTATTCAGGGTATTTGTGCAATGGAATGTGGCTGTTGGATAGTCAAGGTCATTTTGAAATGTGTGTGTGTCACCAACAGTGGCACACTCAAGCACCTGTGGTGCAAAGTTGACACCATTTAGTGTGACTTTCTGGAGTGCACACAATTTGACTTCTGGCCTCTGCATTTAACTGACTGGTAGCTACTTACCCAAACAATAAGACCATCAGCCATGAAAACAATGATCTTGTCATCTTTCTGGTGACTGTCCTTTTCTAAACAAAGAAAATAAAATATAATTAATGTAATAAACAGATTTTTCAGGTGAACACCTAAGTGTTAACAGTAAAAGGACTGTCAGAGAAAAAAATCTTATTAAAGAAATAGAAAGGTGGCATCTTATGAGTCAAAGTCTCAGACCCCTGTTGCAAATTAACGCCTAAACAGTCACGCTCAGTAAGTAAAAGGGCACACTCCTGAGGCTGTATTTCAAATATCCCATAGTATGACTTTGAAAGAACCCCTGCTGTGTAACATCTAAAGTCAGTGCAGCAGCAGCCACTGAGATCAATACAGGCACTCAGAACCCTGCAATACTGATAGGTCATTACAACAATTCTAAAATCAATGGACTATTTAATAAGGTGTTAATGTAACTACATTGAGACCAAGATAGTGAGGCCGTCCTGCATAACACGCTTGTGATAGATTTTTGCAGAAGTATTTTCAATTTCTACGTATTTTTGAGAAAAGTAAGGATACTCCTGATAACTGATAATGGTCTGTGCACGGCATCCTAAATAACAAACATCCCCCATCCCCAGCCTTCCTCCACTAAGCACCTGGCATGGCAATAAACCCAGAACCTGGTGTTGTACTAATGCTCTCCTGCTAGAACCGGCCCAACTGCTGGGTGAGTCCTACCTGGCAGTGGTTCAGCAAGGCAGCTCTGCCTACCCCCAGCATCCAAAGCTGTTGTGCTACTGCATGGACATGAGCTCTACCATGGCTAGGGAAAGCAACCTTCAGAGCAACCTCCTCAGCTGCAGCCAATTATTTACACTCCCGTAGAGCGAGCTATATAGGATATTCCTCAAAGGTCACTTCTAACTTAATGTAGGCCAGTAAACTACCCCCTCTTAACATCCAATACACAAAGCAGAGGCGGTGGCAGCCATATTGATGGAAAATTCTTTCTCCGCATGGAAATGTGTGACCAGAAACTGCTACTTTTCAATCCCAAAGTGAGAAAGGGCATGAGGGAACTGGAATGACATTGCTGTAATCATTCACCTTGGTCATCCAGTCTCAGGCAGTGACTAGATGCCAGTTCTCTGCAACAAAGGCAGTATAAGAAGTTCCCATCCTGTCCATCCTCCCTCACTGCAATTTTTTGCACCTGACAGCTGTGTAAGTATCTGTTGGGAAAATAGTCAACTGTACCGGTGAAATGGTCTGTTTTTTTAAAAACACCACCACATTCACACCCCCAGTAACTCACACTCAAAAACAATTAACACTGATTCTACTGCACAAGTGGTTTAGATCATGGCCAACAAGCCATCGCATCAGTGAGACTGAGGGTGCCATAAACTGCAGGCCAAGCATGGAAAGTCTTGGACCCCAAGCTAAAATCTGCATGGAAATATACCCTGAAAACACATGTGATGATCGTCCCCACAGCTGACAGAGCCCTTGCTTCTGGGAGGCACAGCGATGTGTCCTCTCCTCCACCCTGGTAAGCTGGGTAAGGAAGCTGTTGGAGGATGCCACTACAGTAAAAATTAAGATGCCAGCAATATACTAATGGACTGGGGAAACCTTTAGTTCACATGCAGGAAAAGCAGAATCTTTATTAAGTTGTCTAACTTATGGAAACTGTTGCTCCAAAGATTTTCCATGATGTGGTATTTTTACACAGGAATTAGAGACTGCAGAGAAAAAAAAAGAGATAAAAAGGACAATTTTTTTTAAAAACAAAGTGACAGTAATGCAGCCAAGTAAAAGGATAAAGCACTTGGGCTCCATGTCCTCTTTCCAATCAATATCTGGAGCTGTGGAATTGCACACTGCTCGCCAAGACGGAGATGATTTCCTTCTTTTTCACTCATCCATCTTGCTTTCCTCCTTTCCTTTCTCCCTTGGCCCTAGCCACTTTTATCTGTTCTCTGCATTCTGCCAGCTTTCATTTGAGATGTTTTAAATTTATTAATCCAGTAATTTTTAAATTTTTGGGTGGGTTTAGTTTTCTCCTGGATACATTTAATTGGATCACAGGCTGGTCTGGTGAATGCTAGATACAGCACAAAGTAAGCAGTGCATAGCTAAGGACCACAGAAGTGGTGGTGGATATTATCACATTCAAACCACTTTGGTTAATGATGCTGCATGAAGCCATACACGGGGTATTTAAACTCAGGTTCTTTTCAGGGGATGTTCTCAAGCTGTTTTCAATGGGATATGATGCTGCAGTCAGTAGTCATTCAAGGTAATATTGAATTCTGGTCTAATTCTTTGGGTCTGAATTTCAAGAATCTGGATTTATCTGCTGCCTGGCAATAATCACAGATACTTCTGAAAAACAAGGGGTTTTTTGTCTGGTTGCTAGAATTAAATATTAGCATATTCTTAAAGCTTGGCATAAAGTATTTCTTTAAGACTGTTTTTAATAAGACATATCCATCTGCAATTATAAATCAAATAGCTTTATAATTAAAAGACGTACTTGGCCTTTTTTTATCCTGTGAAGGTTTGCGTGAAATTGGAGTCTTGCTGTGGGGTTTTTTTACATAATTGAACCTTTTCACAAATGACTTCTTCATACCTCTTAATTAAAATGTATAACAGCCTTTCATTTAAAGAGCACAAATTCATCAAAACAAATAACAGCCCAAATTGTCACTGAATTGTTGCATCTGTGTTTTCTTGTCACCTAGTTAGAGATCTGGGAAGTAATACAGAGGTGTGGATGACATTTCATTCTTCTTCACTGGTGTCGCTTCAGACTCTCAGCTCTCCTCCACCTATTCTCCTCCAGGATAGCAGAAACACCAATTCCTTTGGAGCATTAGTGTCATTTGCAGCTCATTGATAACATTTTTCTGTTAACCTATTGGTTTACCTGCTCTTCACTGTTAAAAGTGTACATGTCTACATTAATACACCCATTCTCTTCTCCCAAGTCCTAAGAATCAACTCTCAAAGGCACTTCTACTCCAGTGGAAGAATACGTTTCCAATACATTGTCCAATTCCTAATTTTAAGTTATCTTTATCTCTCCTATCATAGTCCTACGTAATTTCAGAGCAAATTCATTTTTATCCTGTCACAGTCTCCAATCTTCTCATATTATGTCTGCATCATACTGTGGTGCAGTAAGTCTATGACAAAACATGAATTTATTTTTTGTGGCTGCAGGAAAAATTGTGTGTTTTGTAGGCTGCAGTAATTGGGTGATCCTATTGGGACACCCTCATTGTCACTACAGGATTTGAAGTGGTAGGTGTTTAGATGTGATGCAGATTCATCCTCTCAAGCCTTCACTGCCTAATAGCATGAAGGAAAATCCAAAGCTTCCAAAAGCCTGTGAAGCTCTGATAATCCGGCTAAGATTTACTGCAACTGTTCAAGAAAGAGATATGAGCAAGTCCTGAGATTAGATAAAAAAGAAACATTTTATTTTTTTTTAAAGATAAGCAAGTCCACTACGAAGGAAGGAAGTCTGTAATTCACCTTAAGTAATATCCAAGGTGAAACTAATTCCTTTCAGATCCAGGGTCAAGTTTTATGTGGAGCCATCTTGACCTGTAATCAGTTTGGCTATGAATAAACATATGTGCTCTGAGGGACCGTGAAGTGATGATAAAATATGATCACAAGCACACCTAGTCCAGCTCTCTTGGAGGTCTGTGAAAAGGCTGCCATTGATTTCAATGGAATTTGGATGTAATTCTGTCATTCAGCACAGGTGCTTTTATTCAGGGCATTTCAGTTCTCTCAGCATCAGAACAAATGCAGCCCACATTATCATCAGAAGAAACCAGGAAAGCACAGTATTTCTGAAAATTAAGCTGGCAAATCTGTTAGAAAGAATATGTGTTACCTCCAAATGAGCTCTTCTCTACTAGTGAACACCGGTTCAAGTACTAGCTTAAATGGGAAAAGGGTTTTCAGCACAGCTGGAGAAAGCAGGCAGAGATTTTGTGAAGCTGGAGGTTGCTACTTTTGCCCATCCATGAGTGGCACTTTGTTTAACATACAAATTCTGGGGCACTCAATGATGACAGCCATCACTAACCAGCAGACCCGCTTTCCTAAAGTGAAGAGAATAAAAATACATAATTCCAGTTTGCAATTGTCAATGCATTAACAAAAGGAGTTCACTATTTCAGTGATTTCTATAGTTAACAACATAATGTCACAAATAGCTGTTTCTCAGACACATCAGCTATAAAAGTGAATTCATTTCACAGTGCTGAGATCCATGTGCTAAGTTTTTCCTAGTGAACGACAGAGTCATAAAAAATTTAAAATCATACTTCTGATTGCTAGAGCAATGGAAAAGAAGAAAACAAAAAAGAAAATATCATTTTCCATGACTTGCAGTATTTCAACTTTTGACTGGACGAGAAGTTACATGAAAGTTGTAGGGCCTTTGAGGGGAGGCTAGAAGCATCTGTTTAAAACAGATCAAATGAGACAGTCGTACTGATCCACTCTGAGCACAACATGGTCGGACAGGAGATCAATGGTTGAGCATAACTTTGGCACTCTGTATAGCCTATTGATAATTTTCTCTTACAAAAAAAATGTATCAGAAAACACACAGAAAATGAAAGCAAAATTCACCGTGGAAACGAGTCAGTACCAGTGACATTTTCCACTGAGCAGAAGCAAGGACTCCACAGATCCTTGTCTGTCAGACTGGATTTCCCCTGGAATATTTGTGTGAGCCTATCCTCAGTGTCCAGCAGGATGGACTCCTCAGGGCTGTACCCCAGCCACTGGTCCCTACACACCATTTGAAGCACATGACCTGGGGAGGCAGAAGAGATGGGGACCCCCTGGCAGAAACCCCGACATCTGGGCCACCCAGGACAGTCTGTCAGCTCAATGTAATGCCAGCTCCTAGTGGCACCAACACCCCTTGTTCCTTCATCCTTCTTGCTTTCTCATTGCCTGCCAGACTTTTTTCCTGACTAGTGTTGGCCACCGAAGGACCCTTCTTTCTCTTGGACCTCTGGACTTCGCTGCTGGGAATAAGCAAGGGGTGTTTGACCAGCTGAGGAGGAGCCTGCTCTCCTGTCCTTGGCTCCCCAGTTTTTGGGTGGTGATCCTCTGCAGTTTTGCCTGTTACTCTGAAACTACTCTTAGTAAAGGGTAGTAAAATCCAAAAGCAAATCGGCACGCCAAATCCAAGAAAAGCAAGTCTGCTGTCTGTGGGAACAGTTGGGCAGAACTGAAGGGAAACGAAGCATGCATCACACGTGGCTGCTCCATCAGCATGGTCCAGCTGAGAAGTTGCCAGCCACTCCCAGCCCTTCTGTTGAGGACACTTTCATCCAGCCTCATGTCCTCCATTTGTACTCTTGGAAGAGGATGGGGATTTAGGGAGTGCTGGCTTCTTCTACAACCCAGCTTCGCCTTTGGGTGTAACTCAGATTCAGAACTCTCTCTGATTTATTACCTCAAGCAGAAATAACTCTACTTCCCTCACAGAATCATTGCCCATTACAACCACTTTGCAAAGGTGAAGGCTCGTGTGGCTCTCAGCTGGCGGTTGCTGACCAGAAGCAACCATGCCTGGGTAAGTCTTAATAAAGTGTTAATTTATAGTAATAATGACTTTTCCAGGGACATTATGCAAAGGCAGGAATAAACTTTTTCACATGTAAACTTCAAGCTCTACGTATACATCCAACTTGTTCTTGTTAATCATATTAAATAGGATGTCACAACCAGACTGACACATGCAGTTTATTACCAACGGTCAGGTTAGATAGATAGGATAGTAACCACCCCCGAGATGACAATGAATTTGGGGATCCTCATATCATCCTCTCTCCTACCAGCTTGACTTTAAAGGTTGACTTTGAAGACAATTAAGTGGAGCTTTTGTAGGCAACTGGGAACACTTTATTTGAAAGCCACATACTTTCACATTTCTGGAATGAAGCATTGGAATATTTCAATATTTTTAACCTTTTCACTTGTGGTTTTTTGTCACAGTTCTAAATACAGCTTTTCAAAATATCAAAAAAATGACAGCAGGATGGCAGTTAAATTTCCTGGAATCTGAAAGCAGACAGGTTGGGTTTTCTAGGAAGCATCTTTTAAACCACGCATGGGTGTAAGTGATGCGGCTAACTCAAGGCATGGAAGACAACAAAACTGTAGCCAAGCTGTCCGAAGTAGTTGAGAGAAGAAAAAGTTTCAGTCATCCACACCAGGAAATTATAGTGTTTGGTTTTCAGGCGGTACATAGGCACCTGCATTGTTTACTACTGAAAAATGATATTTGCAGTCTGTTTAGCTGAAAAAAAAATGTATTTTAATTCATGAAAATTAGAAGAAATGAAGGGTTACTTTTAAAATATCATTCTCTATTGCCTGAAAGTTTTTCTTCAGAGTATAAGACACAGAAGTAAATGCAGTCTGTCTCCAGAGCCTGAAAGCTAAAGTGGCAATGCTGACATACGAAATAGTGAGTAATACAATGAAAGTAGTCTGCTCTTCTTCTAATACGAGCTTGGAGATGTCAGTGCTGGTACTCTTCAGAGTAATAACATTGTGCATTATTAAAGACAAGATCTCAACAGCTGCTTAATGTTAATATAAGACCCCTGAACATATTCTGAGAGGCTCCATGTCAGTCCAATACAGGCACTGCAATTTTAACTTACAGTATAATTACCACCTTCTCTTATGCTTTGAGAGTTTATTTCCTGTTTTGTCAGGCAATCATTAATCTCTTCTATTTAAAAAAAAACCATAAATAAATAGAAGCTCAGAAATAACTCCTAAAAGCTGCTCACAGTTCTCCATATCCTTATTTGAATAAAAACAAAGTTGTTTTAGAGTCAGCTGAATATCTGTCCCTTTCATAGAGTCTGGGCATTCATGCCCCGAGTCCTCACTTTTCCTTGAGTAGAATTCTACTGTTCCTCTTTTCCAAAACTGAGCACTACGGGCAGCAGCTGTGAGTAGATTCGTGAAGAGCCTGATGCAGGATCCGAGTTTAAATTCTAGCTGTTCACATGCTGTGTGGTAGCATATGTTATAAGAAACTATAAATTGTGTACAGATGTGTGCTGGAATTCCAGTGTAGCCAAGATAACAACATTGAATAACATCTTGTGTGCTTTGTAATTATACATAATGAATGTGCTGTCATATAAGAGAGTCCATGTTTGTGTCAGGATTTAGCCACTGAGTTTGGAAGCAAGGAGTAAGAATTACGGTGTGAACTTTTAAGCAAGGTTTTTAATACAAGATATGCAGAAAGGGGGGGCTGATTGCTGGGAAACACTTTATGTAAGAGGCTCTCCTAAAATGAGCACACAAGCCAGGACTTGAAAAAGATATGTTTAGAGCACATTTTGAAAGTCTAAGGACAAAAACATTTACATATAAGTAAAAAGAGAAAGTATGCAAACATTGTCCTAGTTGGAAAAGCAAAGTGCCAACAAACAGCAAATAGAGGGAAACACAGAAAAGGTGATGGGGGAAGCAGGCAGGCAAAGACCACTCTGAGAGAGAAAGACCAGGAAAAGCAGAGTGAGGGGAGATTAATGTCCTTAGAGTACCTTGTAAATAATCTCTGCTGTCCTTGTGCAAAACTGATGCTTTTCATTAAGAGATGATTCAGATATTGCTCTGCTCTCCACAAATTAGAATTTGAAGAATAAAAGCTGGGAATAGTGACCATTTTTGTTGCCTGCTGCATGGACAGGGCAGAGCCTCATTGCCCACGTGCTAGCTGTGCCCTTTCCATGGTCCAACAGAACAGCAGCACAGCTTTTCTTCTCTTCTGACCGGTGGCAAACACCAAGCAGATAAAGACAGCCTGCCTAGAAGAAATAACACTTTTGTTTAAGCTGTGTGAACAAAGCAGTAAAGGAAAAGGCCTGAACACACTCTCGAAATGTGAGCATAGGTTAGCTAGCAGCTGGCAGAAGATCAGACGTCTGAGGTCTCTCCCACTCAGACCGCTCAGGAGAGGGCTCTCAGCATGTGTTTAAAATCTAAATCAAGGTTTCTCTGGTCCCACTATCCTGCCCATTTCCAGCTTTTTACGCCCTCCTCCTCTGTGAGCAGCACAGGCACTCATTTGATTCCATGGTGAAATGGTTCAGGGAGCTGGAAAAACTGAAAACTTACCATGAAATAATATAATTAGCTTTCAGCCAGGTCAGTTCCCAGAACAGGATCCGCAAGAAGTCAGAGAGATGCCAGGGCTAATGCAAGAGAGGGGATGGAGGTGTGCAGCTTTGCTCCACTGGGAAAGCACAGGTTACAGGTACCTAGTCCTAGATTGCCTTGAGCTGCCGTGGAAACACACCCTGATGCCTCTCAGCAGATATCACAAGCTGCTTTGCAATCCCATACATACAGGTTTCCCCCTTTTGGTATTAGAGTGAGAGACCTTTTTTTATAAACTAAGACGTTTTGTATTTCCTCTTCCCCAGGTTGCCATCCTGATCGAAACAGGACTTGTAGGCTTAATGAGAGTACTCTCCAATAGACAGTAGCAGCAAATCATTAGTGAATTGCATCAGCTCTGAAAGAGGTACAGCTTTCAAGAGTCATCCTGCATTTTAAGGTGATTTGCTACATCAAAGCTGAGAAAATATACTAATAAGAGAAAGGGGGAAAAAAATCCATTATATCTTGCATTTTTGTTATTCAGCTTACCTTTTGGTATAGATCTTCTGCTTGTATTACACATTCCAGTACACTTCTCCGTACACATAGTATATGCATCATTTGGCAGAGAACATGCAAACCTAAATGATGATCAGGCTTTCCAGACTGTGCTGGAAAGAGTCTGTTAACAGAAAACAGCAGTTAAATCACATCATATTAAATCAGCAACATTCTGAACCCTGAAGCATGGCATCTTATTATTTATTGACTGTTTACTCTTGACTCTTTGGACTCCTTGTATCTCATGATTAGCTACATATCTGATCGTTATGTTTTTTCCTCTCTTAACATTCCTGGCTTAATCTGTGCAGGTCATTTTGCTTGACCCACTTTGTCCAAACTTGTGATACTGCTCGGTACCCTAAGAGTCTCTCTTATAACGTTGATATAGCTTAACACTGGCTCGTCTCCAGCCTTTCTCTGCTGCAAACAAAAAGCTGAATACTCCCATCCCTTATCTGGGAGGGACAGCTGCAGCTGTACTTCCTAGCTCCATTTTAACTGTATATTTCTCAAAGATTAAGTGCTATATACAAATTCAAAATGAATCTTTTGAAAAAAAAATATATATCTATGGAAAACATGTAAAAGCACAGAAGAACTAACAATAGGAAGGGCTGTGGCTCAAAAATCCCAGGTAACATTAGCTTGTTTGCTTACAGACTGTACCTGTCAATGAGCAACACGGTTTTCTGCTATTTTATTGTCTCATTGCCTTTTTTTGCATAGGATGCTACACTATTTCTTTGAGACTTCTCATAAGGCAGACTATATTTGACCCCGTTGTTATGTAGCAATGTTTCCTGATATTCTGGAAGAGCTGGTCTGAATTACTTGACGTTATGCCATATAATGACGGTAAGATGTAGCAAACTCTGCTGCCACTTAAGCAGTTTCTAGGCCAGGATAAACTGCAGCAGAGAAAGAGGGCTCAGTGACAAGTTATGACTGGTGGAATTTTTGCAAGGGACAGTCTTTCATCTGAGTGTCTTAAACTTTACCTTAAGGGAATGTCCTTGTGTTGGGCAGGTGAGGAGTTCAGCGGCAGCAGGCAGGAATCCACAAACAGCCTGTCATCACCTTTCAGACCAGAGTCATTGTGGTAGACCTGTTATCAAGTACACAGTGTACAGGGTGACTTGGCAGGAAAGTAAAATGTGAATGTAGTGTATCTATACGTACATATAGAATAATCCTGGCCTCAACAACAACAGGGAACCAGCTATTATTACTGGTTCTGGCCATTTTAACATTTTTGAATTTTTTTCTGAAAAACAACATAAGAGGAGTTGCTCCATCCCAAGGGATATGTTTTGCTACACCAAAGCACAACTAACTACATTGTTAGGACTTGAGCTGTAAGACTTACTATGCTCCACTGCGTTCCCAACCGGCATTCCTATTTAACAGATAAGGAATTAGTTTGGTGATTAAATTATTTCCATCAAATGCTCTCCTCTTTCAGCTATGCTGATTGTCCTTTTGTTGTTTTATTGACCTCCATTTTCCAGGCCATTGCATTTCCAAACAGTAGTCTTCAGAAGCATTATCCCATTAAGGAAACAATTAGTTTGCAGATTTTAACATTTTTGGCACCCGTGCTGGTATCTGCTTGAATTTCTTCATCTGTCAGTTTGTTTCAGGAGGTTTTATGTGCCCTTGCTGCCATTTTAATTGATCGTTCTGGTGTACTAGGAGAAGTACTGCCGCAGTTGGTAGGTCAATGGTCAAGTAGTAGACCACATTGTACTGAAATGTGATGATTCAGCTCCAGAGCTCCCCGGATTTCAGAGGCTGAGAGGGAACTGCTTGGAGAGTTTTGCTGTGGGAGGTGGTTGTCCTGGGTTGGTCGTGTCTCTGTAAGGACTTTGGCACTGTCTTCCCACCGCAGTAGGGAGACAGTGTTGCCTTGTGTAAAAAATGAGGCAGAACCGTGACTTTGGTTTTCTCCTTCACCATTGGCCAATATCTGTCTTTGAAACCAAGAAACCACAGAAACTTTAATTGGGATTCATCCCTACACTATGCGTGTGCTCTTTGTTGTCTCCTTCCATTTCAATATTGAACCAAGTTGCAGAGAGGAAATCTGGCCCTGTGGTATTACTCAAGGTGAACAGCTGAAGGATTCAGATAGTCCCTCTCTGAATGAGCTTGCAGAGGCTAAGTAGCTAGATTAGGGGAGCACAGGTGGGAAAGCGATAAATCCCACGATCAGAGGCATTTACAACAAGCTATGAGACTCTGCTTTGTGCTGTTTGTTGCTTTAGGCTGGGATTTTTAAATCCCAGTCTTTGTTGTTTTCCCAGCTTTGTTTGCTCAAGGCAAAGTGATTGTCGAATACCTCACACAGGGGCCTCTAATTCTGACTGGGACATCCAGTAATATACAACTTAAATGAGACACAGCACTAGTAGACAGAATTATGTCATTCTGGTCTTACTGCTGCTGTTATTTCACTAATTTTACCATATGGTGGATGTTTTCAGTATGCTATTTTCCCATCCAGAGTTTCAGCCCATATGCCAAAGTGCAGCGTGATGTACGCTGAAGGCCACGTTTTGCCAGCTTTGCTCCCCTGCAGTTGTGTCATGTGAGACCTGACCAGTCCCCAAACAGCAACAGAAACGATGCTGGGTTTTGCTGGTTCTGAGAACAGCATCGTGGCAGGTTAAGCAAATTTCTCCTGACTTACGCTGATACTGAAGGAAAGCGAGAAATTTCTGAAGGTTGGGTGGTAATGTAACAGGTAATCGCAGGTTTTGGAGTGCGATTATTTTTTACCGCCCTTACGTTAAAGCTAGAGGCTCGATTGCTGAAGTCTTCTTTTGTGCTGTCAGAAATAAAGGGTTACTGCTCAGGAGCTCTGCCAGTGCGGCTCCTGGCTCTGTGCAATCGTAGGATGGATGCGCCCCCCCGTGTGCCAGCTCCGAACTGTTCTCACTGCCAGAGCCTTTGGAGACCAGAGACGCCTCTCCAGAGATCTGGAGAGCATTTTCTTTTAACAAAATTTTACCAAATAAAACCTCTACCAAAACTCTCTTTCGATCATCCAGAATTTATACTTATATTTATTTATTTTTAAATGGAGAAGCTTAGACTTGCAAAACAGATCAAAACAAAAATAGTGAGGCTGGCTCGCCCCACCCGGCTTTTCTGCTTATGCAGTGACCCCAAGTCAGAAGAAACAAATGAGTACTTTTCCCAAGAGTTTTTGCTACTCTCAAGGATGGTCTGACAAGATTTTGTACTCCCACCTTTCATAAAAGCAGTAAAATTCCTGTCGAATAGAGCAGGGTAAAGAAAGGAATGTTTCAAGGTAACAGTCACTTTGCATAAACCTCTTTAAAGGAGTGTAGCACCAGATGAACATTTTAATTTCAGGGAACCAGTAAGAGTGTCTTTGTTTACAAGGGAACACTCCTGGAGATAATTCTAGTTCAAATGGCAGAAGAGTTATGCCAGCTATTTCTTTGCATTTCCCCTCAGAAATGGGAGGGGGGGGTATTCCTATTGCCCATTTTCATGCAGCTGACCAGTCCATCTCAGCCCTTAGCACGTCTCGTCCCCAGGGTGACTCGGGGCAGGACTTAGGTTAGAGGCTGTCAACCGTTTCCGTATCTTTGTCTCTCCATGGTCCCTGAAAGCGACCTAAAGAGCTCGGCTGTGTAATGTAGGCAGCAAGCTGGCTGCTTAAAACTGGGTACCGTGAATAATACCTTTCTGGGTGACAACATAGCTGCCTCAAAATATGCTTTGCCTTCCCTCTTTCTTTGTACTGCTATCCAAGGCAGTACAAATGATGCTAGCATCTTTATTTGGGTTAGAGATGTATTGGACTGCTTTCCTTTCAATGGATTACCCAGCCAGATTAATTTATGTCTTTTCTTCTTTTCCTTTTTTCTTCTTCTTCTTCAAAAAAAAGAGTAGCATTTTTGTCTTTGGGTGGTTTTCAGGCTATTTCTCTTCATCTCCTATTGTAGGTTGGGAAATTCCAGATGTATTTTATTTCCATTGATCTATTTTGCCTAGTCACCATAAATTTCAATCTTCTTCCTCTGCTGCATTTATTCCATCAGTTGTCTTAACTGGCAGTTTCTTTAATAGTCCTTGTTCACATATGAGATTTTCATAGCTTTGAGCTACTTCATTTCTCTAGAGAGGAAAATAATTTGCACTTTAAACATAAGCAACACTTAGTCTCCATTCAGACACTGGCAGCTCTTACGCTGTGGGCTGCCTCAGATCTATGAGTTGTTTTTTTTTTTTTTACCCCAATTTGTTTCTCTCCTTTAATAAAAAAGAATCTCAGTACTGGAACTTGATTTCAGATCCTGAAATTACACTTCTTTTCACTCAGGTCAACTAAGAAAGAAAGCTACCAATTACTTCTGAAGTTAAAATCACTTGCTTTTCAATAAGCCAGAAGCTGATGCTGTATCACTTCCTCATTCTGCAGCTCCTGTCAGTGTGCCTTAAAAGCCAGAAGGAAAAAAAAAAGCTTATAAAGAAGACTCTATAAAAGTGGAGATTGAAGTCTGTGCTATTACTAAATGCTCAAATATATTTACTGTATACAATATAAAGTTATCACATAATATGACAGACTAGAAAGATGCTTTTACAGTTCTAACACTTAAGGTCTCATATTGGATTTGGCAAAAAATCCAAAAAATATACACAAATGTTTCCCAGAGATTTTTATTTTTTTTTATCTGAGTTTAAAACACAGCTGGTAGTATTTGTTTGTAACCTAGAGATTGTCCAAGATAGACTGGTAAGATAAATATTCTCATATAAACTGGGCCACAGGATCCCAAAATCACGCTATTTGAAACCATACCTCTATTGTAGCAGTGTTAGTTCATTCTGCATAGATTCCAGTGAGGTGCCTTGGATGAGTTCTGTGATACATTACCAATCATGGAGCCTATTCCCTCTAATTATCGTTTTAGTCCAAACGTTTCTGGTATCTCCAAAGTTAGATGAAAACTGGAGCTGCTATGCCTGTCAGAAAGGAGTCTAATGAGATCTGCATGAAGAGCTCAGAGCAGTCTAACAAACTGAAAGCAATAATTCAGAATTAAAAGATGCATCTTTGCAATACTCCTGCTCAATACAATTAGATGTAGTTTCCCCCAGATCTACTTCATAATTTAGAATTGAGACAATATCACTGCTGTCTCACAGATACTTTCTACATCAATACTTTACAAGAAAGTTGTATAAAATACTATCAATATACGCAAGTAGCAAGACAAAAGATTAATATTATTAATTTAGTTGAGGAACAACAATTGAAAGTGGGCTAGTTGGGCTCTTTGGTACAGAGATGGATCTAGCCAACTACAGAGAGCACAACATTGAGACCTGGCATTTCTGAAGCCTTATGTTCCAAAGTTTGCCTTTTCTCCTGACATGGAAAAACAAGACAACCCCATACATAAAGATGAATGCAAGATTTAAAATACTTTGAGAACTAGTCTGACCTCTGATACACAAACACTGCCTGTCACATGCAAGCACTTTCCAGATCGCTGTTGGACTCATTCTAAACTTAAGCAATGGCCAGCGATTTTCCAATTGCTAATACTGTTGCTTGATATCAGTATCTCAACAAAGTTTAGATTCACATCAGTTAAGTTATCCGTTTTATCCCATGGTTTGATAATGTTTCTGGGGGGAGGGGGGGAGTGTTGTTTTGTTTTTTTGAAGAACACATTGCAGCAGGACACATTCAGACCATGTTGTTGCTCACCTGTTTCTCTCTTCCACAGAAATACGCAGGTACGTGAAGTGAACACAGTTTCACACAACTCTGTGGTTTTGGAACCTGGTCAGCTGAGCAGGACCTCCTTTGGACATTTCCCAAGTCCTCAGCCCCTGTCCCACATCACCGTCCCAGCCAACACCTCCCTGTAGCGTTCAGCAGTTTTGCCCAGGACACCAACAAATGCACTGTCCATTCCGTGAGGCAGGATCTTTATCCTCTTCACTGTCTGGAAAACAGATTATATAGATGGGATACTACTTTTAAATAGGAAGACTAAACCTCTACTATTAGTTTTTGGTTAGACAGAATGGGAAATTGTGTCCTATACATTTTACTTAGCAGCCTATAATATTTATTTACATAACAAGGGTAGGAAGAAGATCCTGGTGCAAAGATCCCATTTTAAAATGAAGTAATTTGTCAACATTTCTTTCTCCACTCGTTTCGATTTGCATGCAAGGATATGAAGTTTTATCTCTGGCTGTGCTACAGGGCTATAGTTTATTCACAGCAGGAAAGATAGCAAATATAAGCAGCAAGCTAATGGGCTGAGCCGCTATCTAGCCAGAGCTAAAGCACAGCTAGGTAAGGCTGATGTTACAGTACAGTAGCTGCAACAAAAAAGTCAATGTGTCCTTCAGACTATAGCTTATTTGAGCCCATGTGTAACATAAAATTTGAACTTCGAGTGTGCATTTTAAAAATGCATCTGAGAGAATTTATGTTTCTTTCTATGTATGTACCGTAATGCTGCTTCCAATTAAAATCACCAGCAGCCACTTCAAAATACGGAAACGACAGCGCTGACACCTCCCCGTGGGCTTGTCCCCCAGGCTCCTTTAGCACCAGCGGAGAGACAGAGAAACATTTTGGGTGTCACCCACTTGGCGTGGTTCGGAGGTCTGCTCAGAGGAAGGGGTGATGGCACCTGGAAAAACCCGTTTCTCTCCATCGACTGCAAAAGGAGTGTGTGCCAAGCTCAGGTGTAGATCTCTATATTTCTCACATACTATAAAACTGGGCAGATAATAACTTGCATAAATATGACAAAGTGACAACTTAACCGACAGTAACTCTTCTACTGTCCACAGACATGCCCCTCAGGCCAAATTTTTTTGTACTCACCAGTTTTCTTTTGGAATGTTTGTTGTATTTTGCTATCCTTTGCTGGCTACAATTGCTTTTAACTTGTATTGATCTGCCAGCATATTTCCGTAATAAATTCAGGTTTTCATATACAAACAGGTATCCTTGGATGGGGAAAGATGGACTTTTTTCTTATTCTTATTATTCTTTTGTGGATAACAGAGATAGTGTTAACCAGCATGATTTCAATTATCACAACTTTTACATCACAGGGAGTGACTTTGCGCATTTGCTAACAGGCTGGCTCTTACCTTTGAAACATTCACATACATTTTCTTGAGTAGCCCCTGTACTGGGAACGTAATGGCTGCTTCACCAGAACATGAAGGTGCCCACCGCCCAGTATTTTGATGACAGCGATGGAGAGAAATGTACTCCCCTTTCAAACTTACATAAAATTTTCCACTGCTGCAATAATGATAAAATAGCTGGGAAAAAATAAAACAACAAAACCTTTTCTTCACTGGTATGTCAAGCTTATTCATTCCTGCACACAAAAGCTGAATTATTTATTTGCATGAGACAATATATTCTATAAGGTTACAGCAAATACCCATTGATGCCTTAGGATAAATT